AAGACACCTGTGTCCCCTGAACTCCTGTGACTGTGAACTTGATCTCTAGAGGACGCAGGTTTTCTGATTCACACAGATAGGACCCAGTAAGCTTCCCAGGAAGTCAGGGAGGGAACCCCCTGGAGGCCCAGAGAAGGATTACTTCTCCTAAAATAAAACCTCATCCTCCCAGACTCTGAAGGCCTCCCACCTACTCCGCCCGCCAGCTCCCTCCCCGTTCAGTAGCTGCCATTCAGACACCCCAAACTTGTTACCACTTCAGGGCCTTTTTATGTACTGTCCCCTCTCCCGAAAAGCTCTGCCTGCCTGGCTGGCTTCTGCTTATACTCTGAGGTCCCTTTTCAAGGCCCTCTAACCCTTCACCATCTCCAGTCCCCTTGTTCTACTGTCCTCACAGCCCCACCACTGAAATTACTACGTAGGTATTTGTTTGGTTGTCTGTAACCCCCACAGGAACCAGGGAAAGTGGGGCTGGGTCAGGCCTGTGTCCCTAGCACATAGCGATCATGACAGGGGTGACTGACTTAGTGACCAGAGAACCCCAACTCCCTGATGTGGATCAAGTACGTCGATCCCCAGCTGACTCAAGGCTGCCAGGACTCTCTCCATGCTACTGGCCGCTGGATCCATCTCTCCCTGTCTCTCCATGTCTCTTTGTCTATGCATCTCTATATCTCTCCATGTCTGTCTGTCTTTCCATGTCTCTGTCTCTGTCTCTCCATGTCTATATGAATCTCTCCATGTCTGTCTGTATCTCTCCATGTCTCTCTGTCTCTCCATCTCTCTCACAGCCTCCCCAGCTCTGTCCTCTGTCTCTCTGACTTGATGTTATCATCTCTCTGATGTTATGTTCCTCTCACCGTTTCTATCTGCCTGTCTTTTCCATTTCTTTTCACTGTGTCTCTCATCTCTCCACTTCTCCTTACTCCACTTACTCCTTACTTGTCTCTCCTGCTCACTGTCTCCCACTGTCTGTCTCTCCACATCTCCCTCATTGTCTGTCTCTGTCTCTAACTCATTGTCCCTTCATCTCCTGCCATGGTCCGTCCTGGGGGCGCAGGGTGACAGGCAGGCCGGGCGCCAATGCCTGTTTTCAGCCCAGGCCGCTGGCTGGGGGCCGAGCCAGGCGGCTGTTCTGGAATCCTCCCCTCGCGCTTGGGCCACCAGGCACCGCCATGGCCTCTCCTTCGGCACATTCTGTCCCGAGCAAGGAGCGCTGAGGGTGGTGGGAGGGGGCCTGTTCCTTCCGACTCTGGTTACAGGACTGGGACACACCGTCCCAGGGCCCTCGGCCCCCTCCCCTCCCTGCTCTGGGTTTAGATCTTGCTGAATGGGGCCCTGGCTGCTTGATCAGCCACCCCCAGAGGAGGGGCTCCCCACCCCCATCTCAGATCTCTGAGCACTGCCTGCCTCCAGACCCTGCCCAGCCTCCTCCCACTGCAGAATTCTGTCCAGGCCACCTTGTTGACATAGTGTCTGTGTCCTCAGGTCCCCACTGTGTCCTCAGTGTCCAGCACACACAGTAGGTGGTCGGTGACCGTTTTAGGCTTTCTGGCTGTGCCTAGCCCTGGCTGTGCTGCTCATCCCTGCCCTCCACCTGCCCCCTGCCTCCTCAGGCACTGCCACTCTCTGTCCCCTGCTCTGGACACACTAGCGACCTCCCATCCCTTTCACCTTTGTCCAGGAGGTTCCTCCATCACACACCCCCTTCCAGGGAGGGGCCTTGTGGGCACACGCGTCCTTCTCTCGAGTGAACACAAGTGTGTGGATGCACATACGTGGGGGCATTCAGGCAATGGGATGCATTTGTGAGCACAAACACGTGGAACACACACGTACATGTGCGCATGTGTGCAGACACTCTGCTCACAAGTGTGCGCAGGGCCACACAGCGAGGACCTCAAGCCGCCGGACCCTTGTGCACAAACACTGCAGAAGGTACACTAATGTGTTTCCAAACACCAGCCATGTGCCCTCACTCAGCCACGTGAAGAGTGTCCGTGGCCTCACAGCCAAGGCCAAGGGCTCATGGGTGTTCACGTGTGCCGTTCCCGCCCCTCTGACATGCAGTTGCAGCCTCAGAATCGCAAGGGAGACCACGTGTGTGAGATCAGGACCCCTGTGCTCAGGGTGCTTCCCCTCCCAGGTGCCACCCTCACCTTGCCTGTGGGCTTCTTTCTGGGAGGCCAAGAAAGTGCCCAGAATGCCATGGGCTGGACATGGGACCCGGTCAGAACAGGGGCCCAGATGGTGGGATCTGTGCCTGCCACACTGGACTCTGGGCCCATGGATCCACAAAGAGCAATAAGAAATCAGGGAATGCACACCCCTATTTATCATGACTTTGTTCACAATGGCAAAGAGTTGGAAACAACCCAAGTACCCATCAACAAACGAATGGATAGAGAAGTTATGATGTATTCACACGATGGGATACTACGCTGCATTGAAAAACAAGGAATTCATGAAATATTATACAAAATGGGTGACCCTGGAGGACCTTATGCTGAGTCAAATATCTCAGTCACAAAAGGACAAATACTGCATAGTGCCACTGTTGTAAAACGGGTCTGACATCGGGGTTGAGGGGAGACTGGGAGAGATAGGATGAATTACCTATACTGCATTGAAACAGATGAGGGAGAGAGCTGTTTAAAAGGGATATATGATTAGGTATTATTGTCATGACAGGAGTCCAGAATAAAGCCTACACAGGGGAGTGGACCTGGGAGGAGGGATTGTATAACAATGAAAGAATTTTTCTTTTCAAAGAGAAGAGCAAACTGGGGGGCAGAGGTTGGGCAGGGAGAAAAGTACAACAATGAGGGGAGCTCTGGTGGCTTAGTGGCAAGGAGCTGCAACTACAATCCCAGAGGCGCACAGTTCTAATCCACCAGATGCTCTGCCGGGGTAGGAGGGACAATCTCCTCTTGTACCAGTCAGATCTGATTTGACGGTACATGCACACAAAAATAATTTTTTTTAAAAGTGCAACAATGAATGAATGGAAATCCAAAGTCTCTGTAAACTTTCATTAAAATTAATAATAATAAAAAGAAAAACAAATTAGAATATGATAAAGAAAAACTTAAAAATTAATTTAAAAAGGGAAAAAAACAATCAGGGGAGGGAGAGGGAACTGGGCAAGCAAAGCTGGTTGGGGCGGGGCCCAAACGTAACTCCAAGGGCGGGGAAACTGAGGCATAGAGCCTGAGCCATCTGCTTGGACCCTAATGCTGCCTGACAGCCCACCATTCATCTGCCTTTTGGTGATTTGTTGTTGTTCATTTCCATCAGTTTGACCAGCACTCATACGCGTCAGGGTACGGCTGTGCTCCACAAGGTTATCTTGACTGTGATCTTCATGGAAGCAGATTGCCAGGTCTTTCTTCCACTGAGCTTTTATGGGTTTGAAATGCCAACTTTGAGGTTATCAGCCAAGCACTTAACCATTGCACCCCCAGGGATCCTTTGTGGTGGCCTAGAAGAAGCCAAGTCCACTCCCTGGCTTCAGAGATGGACATGTAACCCGGTTTGGTCAGAGCCGAGCCATGGGGACCAGTTCAAGGAAGGGCTTAGAGCTGGCTGGGCCAGTGACCTTGGGCATTTGGAGATGTGAGGAGAGCAGAAGAGAGAGTCCCAAGAACATCATGCTGCAGAGATGGACACAGACACTCCTAGTTCCTTGGAGTCAAGGGAAAACCAGAGGGAGAGACGGGAGCCTTGAGTCTTGGAAAGGTTGGAAGAGGGACTTTTGTGTTGGGGTTTGAACAGCAGAAAAGGAGTTTGCCAGGGAGCTTGGGAGGGGTGTTCCAGGCAGTTGTTGTTGAGTACTGTGGAGTCAGACCCATAACTGACCCTCCAGCAGGTTTTCAGAGGCAGTAAACTGCAGTCTTCAGTATGGACTGAAGCTCAACTTCAAGAAGACAAAGATTCTCACCACTGGGCCAATTGGCAGCATCAGTATGGACGATGAAGAGATTGAGATAGTTAACAATTTTAGTTTTCTTGGCTCCACAATCAACACTTGTGGTACCAGCAGCCGGGAAATCAAGAGACAAATTGAATTGGGAAAATCAGCTGTGAGGGACCTCTCAAAAATGCTGAAGAGCAACGATGTCAGTCTGGAGAATAAGGCTCACCTGATTTAGGCCATGGTCTTCTCAATTACTTGCTGTGCATCAGAGAGCTGGACAATGACTAAGGATGACAGAAGAATTGATGTCTTTGAGTTGTGGTGCTGGAAAAGAATATTGAACATACCATGGACCCCCAAGAGAACAAACAAGTTAATTCTGGAGAGGGTAAAACCAGGCTGCTCCTTGGTAGCAAGGATTCTGAAGTATCATCTCACATTCTTTGGGCATGTGGCCAGAAGGGACCAGTCATGCTTGAGAAGGACATCATGTTTGGAAGAATGGAGGGACAGCACAGGAGAGGGAGACCCTGGATGAGATGGATTGACACAGTGCCTGGAGTTATGGGGGCAGGTGTGTTGGAGAGAGTGAGACTGGCTCAGGACAGGGCAGAGCTCAGAGTTATTGTGCAAGGGGTCACTATGAGTCACAGGCGACTTGATGGCGCATAACAACAACAATAAAAAATCACATAGGAGGAAATTGTCTGTCTTCCTGCAGGTCGATTCAAGCTGTGTGCCTTCTGGTTGAGAGCACAGTTCCTTACCACTAAACACTAGACCACCAGAGCTCGGTATTTTAGGCAGCGAGAGCAGCAAACCACAACCAGGAGACAACCAGGCCTGTCCTCAGCCACCCTAGTTGTCATTGTCATTAAGTGCCATCTCATTGACTGTGACTATCAGTGACCCGTGAACAGCAGATGAAATCTCCCATCCTGACCGTCTTCGTGATCTCGTGTGGTAGTTACAGTGTGGGGCTCCATCTCACGGAGGGGTGTCTTCTCTGTCGCTGACTCTCCGCTTGGCCAAGCATGATGCCACCCCAGGTGGGCTTGCTTATTTCCTTCTGCGTGCGGTTTCCTCATGTCTCCAAGGGCAGGACCGTCACGGATGACGTGGTGGGCCAGGCTCCGTGGGACATCGAGCCACGGCCAGGAGCCAGGCTGCACCAGGAGCCAGGGGAGACACAGGGGTGTAGTGCAGCGATGGGTGGTGGGTAGGTCCCAGGGGGTGGTCCTGGCTTTAAGGTGGGGTGGGATGACTCACCTGTGAACCAGAAGGAGCTGATCCAGAGTCCAGACAGAAGGGGACATCTCTCCACACGTGTGCACCCCACTCCAGGGCGCGGGGCTCATAGGGATGCATGTAAGTCTCAGGGTCTTGTCCTTGTGCTGTCTAGCTCTGTACAAGCTCTCTGAGTCTCAGTTTCCCCACCTGGCATGGGCCTCCTCAGAAGCCTGGCCTCACTGTGGTCAAGGCCAGTACTAGGCAGAGTGAGGGACTCTGGGAGCAAGCCAGCCTGCTCGGAGCTGGAGCCAGCGGGTCTGTCCCCAGCCGATGGAAAAACAGGAAGCCAGCTCCCGGGGGGTGCCCCCAGCTGTGCTTCCACAGCCTCGGGGTGACGCGTGTGTGGGGCGGGCGAAGTCCGCTCCTCTGCATCTGCAGCGGCCTGCGGATGTGTGTGCAGGGCAGGACTGCCCAGGGCTTGACACAGGCCCGGAGGCACGGGCACACATGGTACATGCACTGGAATGCACGTTTGTACAGCCTGAAAAACAGGTGGGCTGCCCATCTGTTCGCAAGCCTGGGCCTTGGATTTGGTGGTGGGCACACGTGTGTCTGGCAGCCATGGAGCTGGCACGCCCTGGCACACACCCACAGTGTGTTGGTGTGTACAGGCATACGCAGATGTGTGCTGGCACTGCAAGTGGGGGTTGGGGGTGTAGAGGTACGGGCTGTGGTACACAGGCATGGGCTGAGATGGGCTGGTGTGGACAAGCAAGTCATGCTGAGTGTTGGCATGGGCTGGCATGAACTGGCATGTGCACACATGGAGCTAGCAGGTAGGGGCCTGTGTCATGGCTCCCAGGCTTCTGAACCCCCATACAGTCATCCCTCCTTCTGGTCCAGAAGATGAGCTCTGCCCCTCCCATCTCCTCTCTCTGCCCCTCCCATCTCCTCTCTCTGCCCCTCCCATCTCCTCTCTCTGCCCACCCCATCTCCTCTCTCTGCCCCTCCCATCTCCTCTCCCTCCTCTGATCCTGCCACTGGGGGCTCCAGTCCCACAAGCCACTGGCCCCCTCTCGGTCAGAGCTTTTGCATGTGCTGCTGGTCCCTGAGGCCTCAGGACAATGACCCTCTACTCTTTGAGGGTCCCCCCCATCCCCTCCCCTTCCTGACTATCACCAGCTTCCAATCTGACCACTTCCCCTTCTTCCTGGAAGGCGGGCCCCTCTATGATACCATTCCCCCTTCTGGTGTGATCTCTCTTGCCCAGGGTCACCGGGCAGGTGGAAGAGCCTGACTTAAGACCCAAGATGGCCAAACCATCTCACTACCATCCAGTGAATTCCTACTCAGGGCAAGCCAGCAGGACAGAGTACAGTGACCCCATACAGTTTCTGAGGTTGCAAATCTTAATGGGAGCAGATTGTCACATTTTTCTCCTGACCAGTGGCTTGAACCGTCAACCTTTGGGTTCATAGTCCAACATTTAATCCATTGTGCCACCAGGGTTCTTCTATACCTGCATCCAAAAATCACTGTCATCAAGTGGACCCTGACTCTGTGAGCTTCCATTGGGTGTCCAAGGATGTAAGGGGGTTTTTTAACAAATTGTTTTCTCATTTTATTTTTTTAATGTATTTTTAAATTATTATTTGTGTGTGTGTGTACCGTCAAATCAGATCTGACTAGTACAGGAGGAGATTGCCCCTCCTTCTCCAGCAGAGCATCTGGTGGATTCGAACCATGCACCTCTGGGATTGCAGTGCAGTTTCCTGCCACTAGGCCACCAGAGCTCCCTTTCAAGGCTGTAAATCTTTATAAGAGAAGATTGCTCATCTTTCTGTCTCAGATTGGCTTGTAGCTTCAAACTGGTTACTTTCCGATTAACAGGCTGACACATTGTGCACTGTACCCCACGGCTTCTCTGTGACTCATGTAAAAATCTCTCATTGTTGTGGAGTCAGAACCAATTTATAGCTGACTCTTCAGGGTGTTTTCAGAGGTGGTAATTCTCACAGGGGGAGACTGCCTAGCTCTCACCTGAGGAGTAGCTACATGGATTTGAACTGCCAGAGAGCCGATGGCTTTGGTTTACCAGTGCCACTCTCTACAGAAGCCCTGGGGGATGCAGTGCAGAGTGCATAATAGGTTGCTATGTCTCAAAATTCACTCAATGGCCCCTAATAACAACAATAACACTGAACAATGAACAAGGGAGGCCGAGGAAGAGCTGGTACATTTACCGTTTTGCCTTGACAACTCCCTCCAGGCAAGATGGGTCACCAACAGCTAACCTAGAGTCACTCGTGAAAGTGCAACTAGGCTTCCCATTCATGCTGTGTGTGCTCAACTGACACAGAGGGATCTGGAAATAAAGATTCACCATGTAAAAAAAAATATATACACACACACACACACATATGTGTGTGTATACACCCCAAATGTTTCCCATCAAGGACATGGGTTCTAGCAAGTAGGACTATGGGATCTTCCTTGAATGGCTTAGCCAAGACATCTACACAGCAAGAAACAAGACCAACTCTTTATACATAAAATAAAATTCAGTTATGATAATGTGAAAAAAAATAATTAATACATTCAATTGTAGTGTTGGTGAAGAATATTGAATGGATATTGAAAGAACAAATCTGTCTTGGAGGTTGTTGTTATCGGTGTCAAGTCACCTGTGACTCAGCGACCCTGTATGGACAGCAACTCTGAAGCCTGCCCTGTCCTGTGCCAGTCTCACTGACTCTGACACACCTCACCCCCATTACCCCAGTTACTGTTTCAACCCATCTCATCCGGAGTCTTCTTCTCTTGTGCTGTTCCTCCACCCTTCCAAGCATGATGTCCTTCTTCAAGGACTGGTCCCTCGTGGCCACGTGCCCAAAGTATGAGAGATAAAGCTTCAGAATCCTTGCCTCCAAGGAGAAACTTGGTGTCACCCTCTCCAGGACTGACCTGTTTTTTTCTTGGTGATCTGTGATACGTTCACTACTCCAGCACTAGAGCTCAAAGGCATTGATTCTTCTGTCATCCTTGGTCATTGTCCAGCTTTCTTGCGCATAAAGGTAGTGCAGCCAGAATGCCCTTTAGAAGCGAGGATAGTGAAATTCTGTCCACATGCTTTGGGCATGAAGGCAGGAGGGGCCAGACCCCAGCAGAAGATTTTGCACTTTGTATAGTAGAGACTTGACAAGAATGAAGACTCTCAACAAGACAAATTGACACAGTGACTGTAACCGTGGGCTCGAGACAGCAGTGGTTGTGAGGATGGCACAGAAAGGACAGGGCTTTCTCCTGCTCTACATGGGGGTCGCTTGGTGTCCGAGCTGACTCTCTCACCTTTCAAAACTCCACCATTGTGTCCAGTGAACCAATCATGGGGCTAGTGTTGCTTCATCCTTCCGTGCCTTTCCTGGCAAAAAAGAATTTTACTTTGCAAAGTAGTTTTGTAGTAAAGTTCTTTTTAGCTGCACTGCAATGCCAGAGGTACGCACTTCAAATCCACCAGATGCTCTGCTGGAGAAGGAGGGGCAATCTCTTCCTGTACCAGTCAGATCCGATTAGATGGTACACACACATAAAAATAATAAAATTTTAAAAAATAAAATAAAATTCTTTCTTTGCTTATATTAACAACAAAACCCTCAAAAATCAAACAAACAAAAAACCCTCAAAACACCCACATCTCCTTTCTCCAGGCTGAGGCCCCACCCAGTCAAGTCTTGACCCTGTGAACTGAGGGCGCTTGTATCTGGAACTGTCCTCTCCAGGCTCTTGGGACCCAGAATTGCCCAGCTCTGCCATGTGGTGCTTCTGGAGTTGGCCCAGCCTCCCTGACAAGCCTGATCCCCAGGAAGTGTCTCTAGGCTGCAGACTCAGCCTCAGGACCTGCCAAGCTCCACTGCTTAGAACAGGCTGGATGTTTCCACTTAACTCAGGAAGCCCCAGAGCTCCTGAGATGCCCTGGGCAGCGCCCTGGCTGGTCCTTGCCCAGGCCTGTAGCTCGTCTCCCACCTGGCCTGTTTACCTGAGAATAACAACACTGACAATCCAGCTCCTCCCTGGCATGGTGAGGGGGTTCAGGCTGTGTCTCAGTGCCTGCAGCCTTGGGTTGGGGCTACAGACACAAGGCTGGGGTCCCACCCTCCTCACACCCTTTCCTACAGATCTTAACTCCCAGGGCCCAGAGTCAGAGGGATTAGACACTTAATGGGTAATAAAGTATCAAGATTATATTTACAAAATATCAGAGACTTCCTTTGAAGTGCTTTCCCAGCAACAAGCAAGAAAATACTAGGACTAGGGATGCTCAACAGGATCTGACACTGACAAACAACAAGGCTGCGGATTCCTTGTTTACAAAGTCTCAGAACAAAGGAAGCTTATGTCAGGTCTGGTTCACAGTGCCCGGCTCTGTCCCCAGCCCTGCACTGTGCCGACTGCCACTGCCACGGTGGGCACTGCCACCACTATCAGACACTGTTTACCGAGTATCAAGTGGCAGCGGCCGGTAGCAGTGTATTGGGTCACAGGGAAGTCACACCACAAGCTGGGCACTGTGACAACATCTCTGGTCACCAGCTGTTACAGAGACACAAGACTGTTTACAGTCGGCTTCCGGGTATCGGTGGGACAGTGAGTGTGTCCAGGCGGTGCTGGTCCCATGGCCATCTCCAGCTCCTGGGTCAGAAAGAGCAGTGTGGCCCTGGGGAGGCTCCCAGAGGAGCCATAGCCTGAGGCAGAAAGTGAGAGGTCTCCCAGGCTGGGTCACATCGGGTGCAACCCTGTTCCTTGGTATCTCCGGGTTTCTGCTTTTTCATCTATAAAATGGCCAGGATGACAGATTAAACACAGCACAGATAAATCCGAGGCTGCCCAGGTACTGAATTCCAGATAAACAATGTAGAGTGGTTTAGCTGTTGTTATTATTGTTGTTGTTATATGCCTTCAAGTCACTTACAACTCATAGCGAGTCTTTGCACAATAGCTCTGAACCCTGCTTTATCCTGAGCCAATCTCACTGTCTCTGACACACCTATTACCCCTATTACCTCAGTTACTGTGTTAATCCATCTCATCCAGGGTTTTTCTTTCCTGGGCTGTCCCTTCACCATTCCAAGCATCACATCTTTCTTCAAAGACTGGTCCCTCCTGACAATATGCCTAAATTATGTGAGATGGAGCTTCAGAATCCTTGCCTCCAAGGAGAAACATGGTTTTATCTTCTCCAGAACAGACCTGTTAGCTCTCTTGGCAGTCCATGGTATGTTCAATACTCTTCTCCAGCACCACAACTCAAAAGCATCAATTCTTCTTCTATTGTTCTTAGTCATTGTCAAGCTTACTGATGCATAGCAAATAACTGTGAAGACCATGGCCTGGATCAGGTGCACCTTAGTCTCTAGACTGACATCTTTGCTCTTTAGTACTCTGGAGAGGTCCTTGACAGCAGATTCACAATTTGTCTTTTGATTCCCGAATGCTGGTCCCAAGATTATTGATTGTGGACTGGGCAAGCTGAAATTGAGTGGGTTTGAGTATATTTCAAATAAGGAATATTGAAGAAGAATTGATACCTTTGTATGATGCTGTGGGCAGAAAATTTGGAATATACTATCAGGATTGATACTCTATTGTGCATACTTTTGCAGTAAGAAAGTGACTGAATATGCAATCCAAATGCATTAGTAATAATGAATAACTGGAATGCAAAAGTTGGGAACAGTGAAGAAGGATCAGTAATTAGAAAACATGGCCTTGGTGACAGAAATGAAGCTGGAGACAGAATGATAGAATTCTGTATATTCAATTATTTATTCATTGCGAATAATTTTTATAAGAAACACAAACAAAGGTTATACACATGGATTTCACCTGATGGTATGCATACGAATCAAATCAATTACATCTGTGGAAAGAATTGCTGGAGAAGCTCAAAATCAACTTTGAAAAGTAGGCCAGGTGCTGACTGTGGAACAGACCACTAACTACTCGTGTGCAAGTTCAAGCTGAAGCTGAAGAAAATTAAATATAATCCACAGGAACCAAAATTTGACTTTGAGTCTATCCCACTTGAATTTCAAAGCCATCTCAGGAACAGGTTTGAGACCTTGAACACCAAAGTTGTTGTTGTTTGTCTTCGAGTTGAGCACGACTCATAGTGACCCTATGAACAAGAGGCCAGAAGCCTCTCTACAACTATTGACATTTACCAAAGTTCATAGAGTTTCTGGAGGCAAATTGTTTAGGAAGTGGATGCCACTCCTGCTTCCAATGAACACCAATGAGCAAAGACCAAACGAGCTGTGGGAAGATATCAAGAATATCATCCATGAAGAATGCAAAAGGTCAATACAAAGGCAGAGGAAGAAGAAAAGATCAAGATGGATGTCAGACTAGACTCTGAATATTGCACTAGAATGCTGAGAATCTAAAGCAAAGGGAAGAAATCAAGAAATTAAGGGGCTGAACAGAAGATTTCAAAGGGCAGTGCAGGAAGACAAAGTATTATAAGCAAATGTGCAAAGAGCTGGAGTCAGAAAATCAAAAGGGCTGAATTTAGCATTTCTCGAGCTGAAGGAATCGAAGAACAAATTCAAGCCTCGAGTTGCAATGCTTAAGGATGCTTTGGGCAGAATATGAAATGATCCAGGAAGCATTAAAAGAAGAAGGAAGCGGTTCAAATCCACCAGATGCTCTGCTGGAGAAGGAGGGGGCAATCTCCTCCTGTACCAGTCAGATCTGATTTGACGGTACACGTAAAATAATACAATAAAAAATTAAAAAAAGAAGAAGGAAAGAATACACAGAGTCATTGTACCAAAAGGAATTTGCAGACACAGAATTTAATGAAACAACGTATGAGCAAGAGCCTATGGTGATGAAGGAAGTTCAAGCTGCTCTGAAAGAATTGGCAAAAAACAAGGCCCCAGGAATTGATGGCATACAGATTGACATATTTCAACAAACAGTCGCTGTCCTGGATGTGCTCACCAAACTGTGCCAAGAAATCTGGAGGACAACCACCTGGCCTACTGACTGGAAGAGATCTATATTTGTTTCCATCCCAAAGAAAGGTGACCCAACCACATGCAGAAATTATTGAACAATATCATTAATATCACATGCAAGCAAGATTCTGCTGAAGATTATCCAAAAATGTTTGGAACAGTACATCAACAGAGAGAACTGTCATATGTGCAGGCTGAGTTTAGAAGAGGCCATGGAACTAGGAATATTACAGCTGATGTTTGATGGATCTTGGCTGAAAGCAGGGAATACCAGAGGAATGTCTATCTGTGTTTCATTGACTATGTAAAGGCATTTGACTGTGTGGATCATAACAAACTGTGGCTGACTCTGAAAAGAATGGGAATCGCAGAACATTTGATTGTGCTTATGCAAAACCTAGGACCAGGAGGCAGTCGTCAGAACAGAGCAAGGAGACACTGCAAGGTTCAAAATCAGGAAGGGTGTACGCCAGGGATGTGTCCTATCTCCATACCTTTTTAATCTATATGCAGAACAGATCATCTGGGAGGCTGGGCTCTATGAGGAGGAATGTGGCATCAGGATTGGAGGAAGACTCATCAACAACCTACCTTATGCAGATGACACAACCTTGCTTGCTGAAACTGAGGAGGAACTGAAGTGTTGGCTGCAGAAGGTCAGGGACTGCAGTCTTAAATAAAGATTGAAGTTCAACATCAAGAAAGCAAAGATTCTCACCACTGGGCCTATTGGCAGCATCATGATACATGGTGAAGAGATTGAGATTGTTAACAACTTTAGTTTGCTTGGCTCCACAATCAACACCCTTAGTACCAATAGTCAGGAAATCAAAAGACGAATTGCACTGGGAAAGTCAGCTGTCAGTGACATCTCCAGAATATTGAAGAGTGACAATATCAGTCTGGAGATTAAGGCGGCCCTCATCCAGGCCATGGTCTTCACAATTACTTGATATGAATCAGAAAGCTGTACAATGACTAGGGATGATAGAAGGAGAATTGATGTCTTTGAGCTGCGGTGCTGGAGAAGAGTATTGAATAAACAAACCATGAACTGCTAAGAAAATGAACAGGTTCATTGTGGAGAGGGTGAAACCAGGCTGCTGGGCATGTTGCAAGGAATACATGCTTACACGCAGACTCAAGGGAGCTCTTCTGGCCCCTAGTGGTTAGGAGCTACATGGTATACAAGTTCAAATCTACCAGTGGCTCTGTGGTAGAAAGATGGGCAATCTCCTCCTGTGTGATTTACTGCCTCTGAAACTATCTGGAATGTCAGCTGATGGCACATAACAACACGCAAGCTCTAGGTGCACATTTCTAGAATGAGCATCCACGTCTCCACCACCCAAGGTTTCCCATTGCAAAAGGAGATTGATAGCACTCTGGTAACCAGTATATTACAAAACTATAACCCAGGCAGGACCTGTCCAAGAAAGACATCCAGTGCCAGGACCTCAGAGGTGAAGTCCGGTAGACTTTCTGGAGGAGATGATGCCAACTGAGACCTGAAAGAGGAAGAGAAAGGAGAGCTTTATTGGGAGATTTAACAGAGAACAGAGTCCCAGGGAGCACATACTGCATGTGCAAATGTCCTGGGGTAGAGGGACCTTAATGATTTCAGTGGAGGAATGAAGAGTCATAAAGGGTTATCTTTGGGAGAATCTACAGCATGTCATTAACTAGCTGGTCCCAGCAGACTGACCAGGAAACTGAGCTTCTGACACACAGAGACTTGCCAAGAGTCGAGTTTACCTATATCCAGGAGCAAGGATGTCACTTTAAAGACTAAGTTGTGATATATCCAAGTTATATTTTTCACCACTTCATATACATGTGACTATTGAACAATGCAGGGAGCTCTGATGGCCTAGTGGCAAGAAGCTACACTGCAATCCTTAAGGCATGCATTTCAAGGCCACCAGGTGCTTTGTGGGAGACATGGACAATTTCCTTCCATGTGATTAATTGCCTCAAAAAACCTGCCAGAGGGTCACCTATGGGTTGGTTCCAACTCTATGGTAAACAACAACCAAACATACGCTTATCAAATATTCAACACCTATTGTGTGCCTGGGGTGGGGAAGAGGCTTGGCAGCAAAAGGGATCAATGGAACTCTTGGAGTGACGAAGCTAGGATATCGAGGCTGATGGTTCTAGAACTGTGTGCCTTTGTTAAAACCCACCCAGTTTACCCTAACATATATTGTTATTGTTGTTGTTATGTGCTGTTGAGTCACCTGCAACTCATAGTGACCCTATGTACAGCAGCTCTGAACCTTGCCCTGTCCTGAGCAGGTCTCACTGATTCTGACACACCAATCCCCATTGTCCCAGTCACTGTATCAATCCATCTCATCCAGGGTCTTACTTTCCTGTGTTGTCCCTCCGCCGTTCTGAACACAATGTCCTTTTCCAAAGACCAGTCTCTCCTGGCCACGTGTTCAAAGTATATGAGACAGGGCTTCAAAATTCTAGTCTCCAAGGAGAAACTTGGTTTCACCTTCTCTAAGACAGACCTATTTGTTTTCCTGGAAGTCCATGGTGTGTTCAAGACTCTTCTCCAGCACCACAACTCAAAGACATTGATTCTTCTTCTATCATCTTTAGTCATTATCTCTAATGCATAGCAAGTAATTGCAAAGACCATGGCCTGGATCAGGAATACCTTAGCCTCTAGACTAACATCATTGCTTTTCTGTACTCTGGAGAGGTCCCTGACA